ATGCAGATGGGACTTTCATCTCAGCTTTCTAATTTCTAGAATTTTTAACTAGTAAATAGAGAGGAATCACCTCTGCTGTTCTGTTTTGCACCACTTGGGTGAAAAGAAAACGTGATCAGCTGGAAGTATTGTAGATTTATCGTTACAATATTTATTACTATTATAAGAATGCAAATCCATTTTAGCATATAATAAATACCTCTTATTTCCTGTGTAGTCAGATCTGCGGATGTTGTAGAGACGTCTGACAAAAACAATAAATGTTATATGTTTCAAAAACTTTGCCAGAATTTATTTGCTAATCATAGGTGTATAGAGATAAAAATAATGCTGAAAATAACCAGTCACTCTTGGGTTTAGACTTCCTCTCAGTCTACTTGCTCTTCCCACATACATATTTGTTTACAAATTCAATTCTTGTTCATTCTCTTTCACTAAACCACTTTATAGCCTAATTGATTTGGCTCTCAATCTTTCAGGACACAATCTCTACTGGTTAGCCATTTTTTTTAAATAGTCACAAAATCATTCATTCATTCTTTCATTCGTTCATTCTGTCATCTTTCAATTGAGAGCAAAATATTCCATAATTCAATGATTTCACTTTATTTTACAAATTATTTAAATTGAACAACAAATGATAGTCATTCTTTCATAGATCCATACATTTTTCAATGATCTGCTGAAAAACAAAACTCTAGGCTTTACAGTACATGCCTAGCATAAAGACTACTTTTATTTCACAAACAGTGAAAGAAAGAGAAGTAAGTTAAATGAATCTTATTTCTTTCTTTGCTGCTAAAGAGTTTACTGGCTATTTCCCCTGAAATCATGATGCAAATTTTGGTTTTAAGTAACCACAGAAATTTCAGAAAATACCTACCAGGTGGTAGTGTGGTGACAGCAGGACCTGAAAATTGAAGAAATAACTTTGGTCTGGGTGAAGATGACAACATGATGATGTTGATGAATTAGGACATTACACAACATGCCATTATTATCATCGTTCTTTCTTTCACATTTTAATTCTTCTTTAGTTTAATATAATAAAGAAAAATAATATAGGATATGGCTTAAAGTATTGGAACTGATGCTTGTTGCCTTTTATTATTAAGACTACACGTTGTCCTCACTTAGTGACTGCAATTGAATCTCCCAACTCAATAATTAATTCCTATACATGTTAAGCACCTCAAACAAATTTACATAAACATAATGTAATAACTTACAGAAACCTGCATAACAAAACCAATTCTTAAATCTTTGTATGTTCAATAATAAATGCATTTTAAAAAAATACTGAATGAAGATTGTCTGGAAGTTTTAGACATAATAGAAAGTAGGATCCTTTGTGATCCCATTTAAGACCACCTAGTTGAATGATAACATACTTTGGCTTTCTAATATATCGTTTTTCCTGGGAAGAGTCACATTGCATTCACATCTGATTTTCATATTATTCTTTTACTGTGTTTGGGTAATATAAACCAAGCAAAACAATTGAAAATTGAGCAGTTTAGATTACTTGAGCAAATGACAAAAGTTAAGACTAGTTAGATGGTGACATACTGAACCTTGGCTTTCTGAGGAGAATATAGTACCTGGCAATAGTCACATTGCATTGACACCTGAGTTTTAAATTATCCGTTTACTGTGTTTGAATGATATAAACCAAGTAAAACATCACAACACTTGAAAACTGAGCAGTTCAGATTACCTGAACAAATGACCCCAGCATCTTCCTTGTGGCGACAGTCATGAACACCCCAAGGTTTATG